ATTCCTCCGCGTTATGACACAAATGATCTAAGTTGTTTGACAGGGGAATAAACTCTGTGAGCCATCAGAGATCTTTGACCCCCCCCCAGGGCAGGTGTCTTTAGGCCATTCCCAAAGGGGGGACATATCTCGTTCAAACATAGTAGAATTGTAAATGGGCTGACTCATGTCACGCTCATAACTGTGCCTGATCTACAACAGGGAACTGCTGCTTTTTCTTTCCTGATCCTTACTATTGTCATTTTCCTCTACTTCTTTTGTGTGTTTGTCACACTTTTGTGACCTGTTATTTCCGGGGTGCCTTGATAGTCGAAGCAAACTTTGTGCGGTTGAAGCTAGAGAGGTGAGTAGAGTAAGTCTGATTCCCTTTAAAGACTTCTCTGTTGAACCCACCCCTTGGCGGTCCTATGACCTTATGCAGTTGCGAGCGCCGTAAAACCCTCTACACTAAAAAATTATTTTTTTTAAAAAGAGATCTTTGTTTTGCTCCAGGTTTCATGACCACGACCCTGCGCAACATGGCACCACCGTCGACCAACGGAGTCACTGTATCTCAGCACCAAGGTCAGCAGCCACAGCCGCAGCAACAGCAACAACAGCAGCAGCAACAGCAGCAACAACAGGCTCATGTACAGGTGTGTGCAGGCTTCTGTCTCTGGTTTTGTTTCTCTCTCTCATTCTCTCTCTCTCTCTCTGTCTGTCTCTGTGTGTCTCTTAGTCTCTCTTAGGTCAAACAGTGGTCCTATGAATGGCAAGCACTGGTCGTAATTGGATAAGTAAGACTGACGCATGTCATTATCAGACAGGATAGCAATTGAGAGGTGTGAAGTTTTGACCGCTGTTGCCGATCGGACAAGCAACTCTTGATCCCACCGGCCGGCTAGTCCTTTGAACCCCTCCTCCCTTCCATCTCCCCCGAAATTCCCCTGTCTAAGATGAATCTTTTTTTTGTCTCCCTTGCGGTTCCGTCTTACACTTGTTCGACTGTATTTTTAAGAGCACCTGGTTTCATAACAAAGCACATGAACAGTACTCTGCGTTCTGACTAAAAATCTATATATGGAAACACTTATGTGTGTTCTATGTTTCCGCAGCCCACATTGTTCACGGCCATCTTGAAGCCAGCCACGCCCACGTCGTACGGCTCGTCTCTCAACCAATCACAGGCCAGCATCCAGACGCTCTTCACTCAGGGCCAGGCGAGCCAGCAGCCGACCCACGTCAGGTGAGCAGTGGCTTCAAGGTTTTAAGCTGGTGGTTTACGGCATTTGGACGCAATTAGGTTATTTTAGTGGTGCCGGAGATTAGAGATATTACTAGATAGTGACCTTTTTTTTCCGAAGGGGAGAAAAAAAAAGAACTAGACAGTAACCTACAAAGATGAGAAGGAACAGAGAAAAAAGATGATAGATGTTTGTTTAATAGACAAGAAGGAGCAGACTACATCAGAGTACTGGCCAACTACCACTGAGCAGTTTGGGGGGTGGTAGGGGTGTCTATTTTTGGCTTAAATGACCTTGGTAAATGGCAGCTCTCGCTATAGCATTGGAGGTAAACAGTATGCAGGGATGTCAAATCTCTGTTTTGTTATGTTTTTTTCCTACAGTTGCAGAGGAAAGGGGAATGGTAAGAGAAATGTTTTTGTTTGTTCATTGAAAGATTTTACAAGGTTCGTTTTAGGTGAGGTGTCATGCTCCGCTCATTTTCAGGGGTTTTTTCCCAAAAAATCATTTGGCGACATCCCTGAGTATGGAGTGTGGCTCTTTAACCAAAGGGTAGGCGGAAGGGTTCACACTCAGATTGCCCTTTTTAAATAAAGCCCCTTTGTGTTGCAAGTGCTGTAAAACTCTTATCAAGTGGGTGGTTGGCAGGTGCTCTGGTGTGGTTTCCTCCTTCGTTCCTGTCCAACATCTTCTGTCCTTATGTCTCCTCCTCCATTTTTGGGTATGAACTTTCAAGTATTGGTGCGTATAATCTTCTGTTCTTACATGACAAATTTGTCTACAAGTGCTGTATCGGGTGGTTGGTGGGTGCTCTGGTGTTGTTTGCTTCTTCTTCCCTATCAAACATCTATCGTCCTTATCTCCCCTTTTTCTTTTTTATGTTTGTTACTCTCTTGTAACACCTCTAATATTCTGGCGCTCATATGACCTTATGCAGTTGCAAGCGCCGTAAAACCTCTGTTATATCAAAGTGCTGTAAAACTGCTCTTCCATGCCCCCCACTTACCGGCCTGTGTGTGTGTGTCTACAAATGCTGTAAAACTGCTCCTCCATGCCCCCCACTTATCGTCCTGTGTGTGTGTGTGTGTGTGTGTGTGTGTCCACAAATGCTGTA